CGAATGGGAGAGAGAGTTGAGATCCAGTGAGTGCCGAAGCTCTCACTTGGTCCGGTATTTAACGGCAACTTGGGCGTTCGATCGAGGAGAGATCACCGATTTTGAGCAGGATTTCACGGGATTTGATCGATTCGGCAATCCGAGGTACGCGATGTCTCAGCTGGATTCGCGGGACTTGATCGCAAATCAGAGCAGGTCGCAAGATTTCGGGGATCCTTCGACAGTCCGAGGTATGCGGGATATCCGGCAATATTCGTGGATCCACCGGTCTCTCTCTCGTTCTCCTTTGGTTTCTTTTACAGAGGTCAACAACAAGGTTGTTCGAGGGATGTTACAAGAATGATGCAGCATCTTTTTGGCTCTTACAAGAATGTTGCACTGTGTGCTAAAGTGCTAGAGGCTATGAAAGAGGAGATGTATACATACTAAAGAAGATAACAATATTAAAATATTTAGCACAAAGATTGTTTGATGATAGAATAAATGTTAGTTATTATTATGAAAATGGAACTAGTGGCAAAGATCTCTCATTTTCTTTGCCACAAATATCATGTTAGAATGTTAATGGAATTTATTTTGTTAACCTAATTTTAAATTATTATGATATTAGTTCTTACATCCATATCTTAGCCTACTTTGATGTTTGAATAAAACTTCTACTTTGCATAATTTGTTACTTGATACTTTGTATTATTTATTACTTCTTATTATGTTAGAATGTTAATGCATTAGTTATTAATGTGTTAATAGGCTATAATATTAATATGCTACTTATTATTTCATACTTATATATGTATACAATAATTTTTATTGTGTAATTTGCTGATTTTGAGGGTTAAAACTCATCTCATGGACAAAAAAAACCTCAATACCTGGTTGAGCAATTTTAAACCTTAGTTGCTGCCAACTCAACACTAATTCCAATCTAATAGGTCTCAATCACATCGATCCCAATGATGCTCTGACATGCCATCATCAAGGTTACATCATCCTTGTCATGCCCAACATCTTGCCACATACGATGTCACACTGCCTATAAGTCATCAGCTACCCCAAGTTGACACCCCCTAAGACCATCCAAGGGTATGAAAAGGAACAAGAAAAAATAGACCAAGATCCATTTTCGGTTCTTGGTTCACATAATATGGTTCTTGGTTCACATAATATGCCATAGTCTCACCACGATTGCATGTTCCTCCTTAAATAGGTATGATTTTCTTTTAAGAAAGTGTTGCCAAGATTTCTCCACCCACAGGTTGCAAAGGAATGACCCTATGTTTACAAGCATGGATGATGGAATCCTAATGTAGATTAGAAACTACATGCTACCATTAAGGGCTATCAATTGTGTCCGTTTTACTTGATAGTTTATATTTACTTTCATTACATATTTACATTATCTTTATTATGCTTTAATATTGTATGTTGATTAAAGAGATAAAATCTCATGTTCTTGAGTTAAGTTAATCACTTTCTGTATGCTTACTAGTTATAAGTTATCCTCTTAGGTTAAATCCATTTGTATCGACATAATCTATTTTGTGGAAAATTGTGATTTGGTATTTGTTAAATTTAATCTTAAAAACTAGTGCAATTTAACATAATATGTAATTATTCTCATATTTTAATCAATCATTCAAAATTATTATTTGATTGTGTAATTATATTTGCAGGACCAATTTACTTGATAAAAAAGTTTGTATAGTTATAATTGAGTATGGCATTCTTCATTGACCTTAAAATTGATAACTCACCTTACAATATATCACATTTGGTATTATTTGTTCCCAAGAGACATACACATAGTATTGTTTATTTTAATCTGTGAAGCTTGTTAACATATTCCTAAATTCAACACATTAGTTTGTTTGTTACATTTATAGTAGCCGTTATATGTATTTATTATTATACCTTCCACATTGCATTGCGCTTGATATTATAGCATCCAAATTGGAAAGAATTTAAAAAGAAAATTCTATAAGACAAGAAAATGACCATCAGGTTTCTTGCAATACCATTGCTGGTTTTTAAACTGAAGCATGCAGAATCTATGTACTCTTTTGCAAGTGAGGCTGTCTTTAAGCAAATATGGAGCTTTGATCCTTAATTGTCAGCTTTCTCCCATGTTTCTCCCTCCTTAGAGGGTCAATCCCCACTCACGATGCTTTCTCGTCCTCTTTCTTTATGTACTTTAAAAATCACCCCTTCACCCTTCTTTTGCTTAAAGTCTCATTTAATTTCTTGAAGTTAATACACACACACATCTATGTTTCAAAAAATAATGAAGTTTATCACATTCATGATTAAATTGGAGGTAATCATGTAACTAGTCACAAACTTCCTCAAAACTCCCTTAAAAATGATGAATTCATTTTCACACTTAAAATTAAAAAAATTGTTTTCTTAAATATAAGAAACACAATGACACCGAGGTAAACTGTTAGCTTAGTTGTTCTTCTGCTTTATTAAACAGCGTATCTATGTTTGTAGGCCTTTTTCGTTCTCATTTATAACATTGGAAGGCCTCACTTCATCGCTTTCCCCTCCCACCCTCATTTCTCTCCCTCCTTACACTTATAAAATTCATTATATAAGGTATCCATCTACTTATCAATATGAAAGGTGGATCAAACAATCGCATTCTTCAATTCAAAAGCTTAGCCAAGCAATAATAGAATCTAAAAAATCAACATCTACAGCATAAGGATAGAGAAACCATAATAAAACAGCTATAGTTCAATAAAGTAACTGTAGTAAAAAGGTTAGACTTTCAATACAGTTTAGAAGCTTGCATAAATTTTGCAGAGAATAAATACAATGCTGAATTCAAGAATCCAAGCAATTAAATACTCACTGAGATGGAAGATTTCCATTTCCCCGAAAGAGTTTTCCAACATTTGAATATCTCCGATTCTCATCATATGCAATTCCCTTTCCCATGCCATAACCAAAGCCAAAGCCTATTCCACATCCGGCACCAATTCCAACACCAAATTGAAGGCCAGGAAATCCAGCCCCTAATCCTGCACCTGTTGATTCAGATAGGAAAAAGGGTGCACAGACATATATCAGTCAGAACAAAAAATATCACAGATACGTTTATAAGACTTATTACATGGGTAATCAATGAACAGCATTGGCATATATCGAAGGTTGAGAAAACAATATCACAAAGGCGTACATTCATTAGACAGCTCCTTATGTTAATCCATAAACAGAATAAACTTGTCTCATTTACATCATATAATAGAGACAAGCTTAGACCAACTAACTTCACCTGGTTTACATAGAGAGTAATATGGAGTCTGAATTTATTGATTCGAACATCCATAGCAAGAATGTTTAGTTTGTTATAATAAGCAGAGGATTTTTCCATTGAAAATCTAAAAGCAATCAGTAAATAAATACGCTGATATACGCAATTGAAATTCAGAAGTAGAAAGCGCTAACGAAATTTTCAGAAGAATATTTGTAGTAAATTTGCGAGGAAGACCATTCCGATAAATAAAAAAATTAAATATTTGAACACAAATTACCAAGAAGAAACAATATAACATCTTTGTAACAATTGTTGTAGCATTAGTAAATAGGATAATCATCCTTTTCCTGTGAGACCTACTAGGAGATAAGTAACAAGAAAAGATTTGTAAACATATAGAAATTTTCACCAGGCAACCTCACGAAAAGAGGAAGAAAGGAAAGGAGCTTGGTTACATGCAAAGACAATGCGTTTATGTGTCAACAAAAGCCAGTCAATGATGATTTACAAGTTCTGAATCCTTGGGGCTGTTTTGTACACTTAAGTTCTTTATTATTTATTTATTTATTTATTTTGTTTATACTATTTTTATTTCTGACTCAGAAATAAAACATACTTGGTATCTTAAAAATATATTGTTTTTGTTTACTTGCGGTGTTGACAAAGGCCACTTGCAGGACAACAACGTTGGCCGACAAGGCAATGATGGTGATAGTGGTGGTGACTAGTGGTACAATGGTGGTCAATGATAGTCGGTGATCCTATGATCAACAAGGATAGTCATTTTCTAAAACACTCAAAATATCTAAAAGTTATTTCAGTGTTTTTAAAAACAACAAGATTTATTTTAAAAAATAAAAAAGGTTAGAAAGCACTAAACAAGCATATTTTTAAAAATAAAAAATAAAAGTAATCCAAAGCAAGCCCTTAACAAAGGGAAAAAAATTTTCAGCTAAGTCAAGTTCTATGCAAATGCCCAAAAAGGGTTAAACATAAAAATTTTGATGGAATTTAGAATTGCACGCACTATTAGCGAAATCGTATTGCTACTATTGAGATTACACTGACTGAAGCAACCCCTTGGATATCAAATTGTTGCAAAGAAAAGTCTAACAATATCTTTATGAATAAAGAAAGAGAAATGGAATGATGTAATCTAGTGAATAAAGGATGGAAGACGAGATAAAACCATACTTCATAAGCACGATGGAGATAGAATAACGAGTCTATAGTGAAAACAAGGCTCTGAATTCCTCAGTACAAACTAGTAAAGAGATCAAAGAAGTCCTATTGAATCCCCCTCGTAGCAAAAAGTTTCTATAGCCTTCAGCTTGTCATGAAATGCTTGCAAATCAAAAAAAGCGCAATGAACTAAAATCCCTCGCTATAGTGGGAAAGCTTTGACTAGCACAAAGCTCTGGCAAAATAAGAGGAAGAGGGAGACCAAGAGATAAGGTCCTCATAACTATAAATAGTGGTGACCCATAGAAGTCATTGAATATCATTGCAAAAGGAGCACTAGATGCAACAATGTGGAACTCAAATTCTCCAAATTTCAATCAAAATAATAGCAAATGTGCAAGATTCTACAGGAAATCCAAGCTCAAAGAAGATCACATTATAAAAAATGTGATGAATGCTCTACCATCAACATAGGGGTCAATATAGACCAAAAAGGAACAATAATGTCCTAAGAAGTTATTTAATTTATTTTCTTGGAGTAACCATATTTTTTTTAATATGCTTCCACGATAGCAAGGTAAAGAATGAAGTGAGCCCCCACATATTCCCAAAAAATACATCCAAGAGATCCAAAGCCCATCCTTATACATAACCTTGCAAGGAAAGCCACATGCAAAAGGCTATGAAGAACGAAAACTTCTAAATGCCTTTTGTGTCTGTGTCGGACACATGTCAAACACGGGCCTAGCTACAGACTGCATCGGCACTTCTAAACTAGTGCCAAAGTTTTTAAGCATGAACTGAAATTCCAATACTTCCCAAACACAACGAGACAAAAGCGGGACATGGGTGAAATATGTAGAAATGCGAGAAATAAAACTGTGAGCATAGAAATAATTATCATATATCTTATGCATCATGCCCTAGCCATCAACTATCGCACACATCCTGCAGTCATGTAGTGTCCTATATTTTGCCAAAAAAACCTAGCAATTATATATTTAAAATCTGTAAAATATAAAAATGTGTCCATTATCTGTCGTGTGCTATTTTTTATATTTATATTGTATCGTCGTATATGTGTCATCTCATATTCATGTCCCTGTATCCCTTCCATGCTCAATAGGCTAGAGGCAATGCTAATGACAACATCTCACTATCCACCTAAGGCAATTTGCTTCTACTTAAAGACCACTCTCAAAAGAACTGGATCAAATGAATCTACAGCAATAGGCTTGATTCTCTTGATAGTGCTTTAGGGATGGCAAAGCTATTATCCCAAAAGGAGAATATCCACCAAATGGTGGTTGTTAAGAACAAAGAATGATTTACAGATAACATTATTATATTGAAAACATTAATATGACATTGCTATAGACAAAGTAGTATTGAGAAGCACAGCTTTTGCTAGATGACATTATTATTTGAATATTATGTGTCCATATATGCCGATGTAAGTAATTGTGGGTATCTAAACAGGCTTAGGGCCGCAAACAAGAGGAATACTCACCCAAAGAAAAACTCTCCCTAGAAGGCAGTCTCCAGAACCAATCTATAACTAAGAGGCATTCATCCCAGCGGAACTCGCAGCATGTAAACTCGCCTTTGGATGCACTCATTCCATGCGAGTTCATTCAAAGGACTCACCTTGACAAGCCAGACATTCACCCAAAGAGGCTCCACTATAGCACCTTTCCCCAGCTAATGCCATCTACCTTCCATGGGTAACTTAGTCCAAGCTACATGAAGCGCACACTACAATAATGACTTCGTGATTATATTCATCCCCAACTCACAGTCATGTTCGTCCAGGAGACTTGCTTACTCTACTCTCTTGCTCTTGCTTGCTAAACATATTAGTGGGCGCCCACAAACAGCTTTGAATACAACAGATATCATTGATATGACATTGCTATAAAGGTTACAATACAGCTATTTAAATAGCATTTTCAACCAAAGAGCCCCTTAAATACAAAACTGATACCAAAATTCCCCTACGATACTGCTCACGTCTTAGCATAACCTTGTACTGCTTGAGATCAAACTTCAAGAGCAAATACAGAAATATTCATCAAACATTTCTTTGTTTACCACCATAATATTGTTAAAATTTTACTACTAACAACCATAAATTTCATATAAGCCCTTACTAAACCCTTAAAAGTGCGCTATGCTTCTCAGAATTTCATCCATGAATTAAAAAGGCCGATTCGTCTCACCTACTAAGATAATAAACTTCCTTTGAAACCTTAAATTAATTTCACGACGGCGACAACAAAAACAAGATGAGTTCCCCTAAATTAATTTAACGAAAACAAAAATTTTTAAGGTGGAAAAAGGAATCGAGAGAACAAGTGGCACACATCAAGAGAACAAAGGTGTAGGAAGGCTCACCTCCAAAAAGTCCAACACCGACACCGACACCACAGCCTGCGCCGAAACCGAAACCCGGTCCGAGCTTCCCGAGATTCTTGGATTTCACCACCGGAAGCCTCCACAGAAGGCCCTTGTTCACGCCATTATTCCCGCTCATCCTCCTCGCTACCGTAGTCCACGAAAGGCGAAATCTTTCTCCGAGTTCTCTCTAGTGCCTCCGCCCGATGTACTGCGCCTATTCCGTGAAAGGGCTACAGAATCGAGCCCATAGGCCACGGAAGAAAGTTTGTGGCGGACCAGCGGCGGACTGGCATGTAGTTTTTAGTTTTATTTTATTTTTAAATATAGATTAGGTGCATTGTCGCTCTTTAAATGTCAGTGGCGCTAATCTTAACAGTACCGAAGGAGATAGATTGGCAAGCTTTAACAAGGTTTCTTAACCTACGTTTTAATAAGGGTGTAAATATTTAACCCGATTTGAAATCCGATTCAGACTTGATCTAAAAAATTTCGAATTTGGGTCAACCCGTTTTGCCATAGGATCGGATTATGATTCGAGATTCCAACCAGTTTATAAAACCGGGTCGGGTTCTAATTGACTTGATAACCTGAAGCTAACTCGAAAACTACCCGATTCGCGTAAGAGGATGCTCGACAGGGCTAAGGCCTGCGGAACGCTGGAATCCTATTCCTTCTTGCTTCTCCTTAGAAAGAGCGAGATCGATTCTTGAATCCTATTTGTATATTTCTTCCCATCTGCTTCTCATCAACTTGCTTTAATCTTCATATGCATCATTTTCCTCTCTTTGTTTCCATGTCTTCCTAAGTTGGTAGCTTCGAGGCATGTTTCGCTATCTTCTCCTTCTCTTCCCCCCAACACAATGTCCTTCTCAAACTTGCTTGGTGGCGCCAGCATCGATGACGGCTTCATTGCCAACTACCAATGAAACTTCGAAGTCGGTTAGAGGATTTAGCGATAATGGAGTAAGAGGAAGAATACCAAAGACTTTTACTTCGCCATCTTCGCATGCCTCAGCCCCGCAGAGCTCCAAAGTTCAACTCCATAACTAGACCCTCACTTCCTATCTCGCCTCCTCCCATCTCTCATTCCTCTTACTTCGCCATCCCCATAGGCCTCAACCCTGTCGAACTTTTTTTTTTAATGTGGGTTTGATCTTAAGTTCTGAAATGGAGGTTCAAAGAATATTTGAACTATAATATGAGATTCAAATTTTATTCTAACATTTTTTTAAATTTCTCTCAAATCTCTATTACTCTAAGCAGTGCTCAACCTTTAGCTTCAAAAGAAAGTCTCAATCAATATTTGAACAAACCCTTTTCTAAGTTTATTCGAACTAAAATGAAGCTTCATAGCAATCCTTCGAAATTGTATTCAAACAAGATTCTAATATTATTATTTTTTTTACATCTTGTATGGAATTGATTCATTTGATTTTCTTTAATATATAAGCATGTGTCTTAATTAGTCTTTTTTGTGGGGAGGCATTACATTTCTCATGTCACATGCTGAGCTAAGGAGTTGATCAAGCTTGGACCAAGAGCTCCTAAGAGTCAATTGATAGGTGAACAAGATAAAAAATCAATACATTACATCAAGATTTGAGATATTCACTATACACAACTTCCTATGCATACCTATGACCCATAGTCACTCTAAAATAATTGAAGAATAATTAAGAAGCTTAATTTAATGTTTCTTAATGCTTATGTGGGTCATATTGATTAAGGATGCAAAAATCTTCAAGAATTACTTCATTTCAAGACCACTCTACTTGTCTTATTTAGCAAATCTAAACTTTTCATACTTTTAGAAGCTCAAATCATAATTTATTTCTCTAATTTTTTTTCTTAGTATAAGGAAAAGTAGTCAATCAATGTAATAGTATTCTACTAGCTCTTAAGGCTCTCTAAATTTGTTTAGGCTTGAAAAAGGGTTATAAATAGAATCTATAAATTATTTTTTTTTCTTATGTAAATTTTATTAGAAAAAGGCTTGGTATTTGATATACTCTTTGGTGAAGCTTAGTGGCTAATCCCAAGCCTTTTATGAGCTCTTAATTATCTTTTCTCACCCTTATTCCTTTTTTTTCCCAACACAGTTTTCATATCCTCTATATAACTTAAATCCTTGCTTCCCTCAACCTCAAAAGATATCCAACCTCTTCAAAACTCTCTCAAATTTTCTTACATGTCTCACATAAACTTCAAAAGCCCCAACTCCTTAACAACCCTAAGATACCTTAGCCAAAAGTCCACTATAAATAGATAATTTTTTGCAGTGAGCAAACAAATTAACAATATAACAACTCCTTGACCACTAATTCAAAATTCATATAAACACCAACATTAGTTTATTAACATTCCAAAGATTTGACCTTGAGCTCATTACCTTTTTTCTCTAAGAAAACTTGATTGTTGATATCCTAGTAATTTCAACACTAAATACTTTCAAAACCAGAATGCTTGCTTCGCCACCACCCATATAACATGTCACAACCCAGCTCAATAGGACAAACAAACAATGCGAGCCCGATCATGTTGACTTGTGATAGGCCAGCCCAAGATCTAAATTTTGGGGATTTTCATATTTCACTTAATTACACATATCATAGAGCTTCTAATTAACTTCTAATGGTCAAAAAGTGATAAACTTGTCCACAAAATTTTTTTTCATTCATCATCAAAATATATTTACAATATACAATACATGGATTATCAGAATAAAGCAAATAAAGAAATAAACATGATTGCACAAAATTAGAAAACTGTTTATACATACTCAAATAGATAAGAAACAAAGACCACTGCTACTCAATCGGTTTATTCCCTTTCCCCAAACCTGAAACAGAATGCAAAAAAGGTGTGAGTCAATACAACTAAGCGAGTCACACCCACTAACCTAAATTTTCAAATATTTCACTTATTATTCATTTAACTAAAATTAAAGACAGCTCATAATAAATTTATCGTGCTGAGAATAATATTAATTACAAATAACAAAAATAAAGTAGGTTGTGCACATAAAATAATAAAATAAGTAATCATATATTAAAGCAGAAAGTAATAGATTTTTCTTAGATTCATATACCTCACATAAAAAATAAGTCCTTATCACTCCTTGTGCAATACTAGTATATCATAAAAAGGCCATTACAACTCTCAACGCTTAGCACATATCACATATTCATAAATTCATATCCTTATAACTCCTTATGCATTTAGCAGCGCCACTACTAAAAAAATAATCTTTTGCAACACTTTTTTACCCTACAGCAGCGGTTAAAACAAATACAATAGTTTTAGCACCGCCGTATTTGTTATCGATGCAAGCAGCTTCCACAGCGCTAAATAAACCGCTATCGTAGCCAGTGATTTAGTAGCGCTTACTTTAGCAGTGTTTTTAACCACTACAAATATGGGTCTACAACAGTGGTTTTAACACCTACGAATTTGGAGAAAGTGTCTATAGTAGTGGTTATAACAGCTGCCATATTACAATTTGAAAGAAATGCAGTTCTGGGATTTAAAAAAAAAAAATCTGTTTTAAACACGTGCAAACTTCATTACAAAGTACAATCATAAATATTAAATGTATAATGCTTACATAATATCCACAATTCTCAGTCGTACAGTTGAATTTATTCCCAAATCTCACAAAACTTAAGATGGGAAAATCTTTCGAGGGAAAACCTTTTGCCAAATGGGCATCATATTGCATAAAATCAAAAACTTAAAATGAAATTAGAATTATTTATATTCAACAACTTTGAACTAAATAGCGTGCACTTGACCTTTGTATTCAACATTAATATGGATAAGTGTGCCTTAATTGGCCTAAAAGTTAAAAAAAAAAACATATAAGTTAACATATAGAATCAAATATTAAATATTAACCCTTATATTCAGCATTAATACCTCAAATTAATAATTAAAATAATGTAATATCAACAAATATATGTAAATACAAATTAAAATAGTCTTAAAAACTCTTTAAAACTCAGCATTAAGTTCAAGGCATGGATGCAGATTTGAACCTCAATCTCCTTCACAAGGGAATTACCACATTAAAATAATTATTAAATACTTTGCAAAAATTCCTTCACAAAGGCCGACACAAAAATATGAGTAATTTCGACTGTCATTGATTCAGTGGAAAGCATTGACCATTCTGCAATCAACCGACTGAAGTGTGCAAAATATTTGGAATTTAGAGGGCCTGTTGAAAGCATATGTTCACTTGCTTTTCTCCAATATTCTTTAAGTAAACTCGACAGGCTTGAAGTTGAAATGACTGTCTCAAAAGCCTCATATTTATATTTACAATGAAGTGGTTTGCGGGCAGATGAAATGTATTGAGAATATATTTTGTTTCAATGCTTATACAAACACACTGAACAAACAAAACACACTAATTAATGCACCCTATCTTTCAGAATCAAATGAAACAACACTTACAAAAAAAAAAAAAAGTGAAAATTGAAAAATAAAAATATCATCTATGAAGATTTTCAAACACGTCAGATCATTATATTACAACTCAAACATCATAAAATACCAATCCAACAATTCACAAATATTAAAAGGAATGTCACCTAAACATACAAAAGACAAAGAGGCCTTTTGAACAGATCACTCAGCAAGATCCAATGTCAACACAGAACAATGCTAGCTTTAAATATATAGACAGAATAATCATTCAAATATATATTTCATAATCCTTCATATAAAACAATATAACTGTATGCTAAAATATACTTATATAATCACAACAATATTCACATATATACAAATATAACATATCATAAATATACCAAACTACCTTTCATAATTTTTATGTAGTCAATCTCAAGATACCGCAAACAAACAAGAGGATGTTTTGCATCTACCTATTTGAATCCAATAACCATCAAAAGAGTATCACTCAATGTCATCAATCCAACCAACAAATCATTTTAACTATATATTAGGAAAAAAAAAAAAAAACACAACATAGCAAACACAAGGCCATCAACTGTTTAACCACTGCATATGAACTTTTCTTCTTTTGTTAAATCATGTTAAAATAGATCATAAAAACATAATATCAAATTAAAGAGAAATAAACTCATCCACTTATAAAATAAAACTGATATTGAACAACAAAAAACCAATCAAAGTACACTAAAAAATAAACCAACATGAAGTAAAAGCAAAAACCGACACAATGACCGATATATATTCTTGCGATAGCAACTTATCGGAGTTGGCGTTTTTGTTGGAATGAACAGAAACATACTAAACAAAAGGAA